AAGAAGTGGGACCCAAGGAGGAACACACCAAGGCACATTATAATTACATGAGCTAAGATCAAAGAAAAGGAGAGAATCTTAAAAGCAGCAAGAGAAAAGGAGACAGTTACCTACCTTCAAAGGAGTCCCCATTAGACTATCAGCCGATTTCTCTAAAGAAACCTTGCAGGCAAGAAGGGGCTGGAAAAAAGTATTTAAAGTCATGAAACGCAAGGACCTACATTCCAGATTACTCTATCCAGCAAAGCTCTCATTTATAATAGAAGAGCAGATGAAGTGCGTCCCAGATAAGGTCAAGTTAAAGAAGTTCATCATCACCAAGCCCTTATTATATAAAATGTTGAAGGGACTTATCTAAAAAAAAGAAGACCAAAAATATGAACCATAAAATGACAACAAACTCACAGCTATTAACAACTGAACCTAAAAACAAACTAACTAATTAACTAACTAAGCAAACAACTAGAAAAGGAACAGAATCACAGAAATGGAGATCACATGGAGGGTTATCAGTGGGGGAGTGGGAGGGGGAGAGAGGGGGAAAAGGTACAGAGAATAAGTAGTATAAATGGTAAGTAGAAGATAGACGGGGAGGTTAAGGATAGTATGGGAAATGTAGAAGCCAAAAAACTTATATGTATGACCCATGGACATGAACTAAAGGGGGGAAATGCGGGTGGGAGGAGGTGTGCAGGGTGGAGGGGCATGAAGAGGGAAAAATGGGACAATTGTAATAGCATAATAAAGAAAATATATTGCCCTGGCTAGCGTAGCTCAGTGGATTGAGCGCGGGCTGCGAACCAAAGCATCGCAAGTTCAATTCCCAGTCAGGGCACATGCCTGGGTTGCAGGCCGGCCCCCAGCAACCGCACATTAATGTTTCTCTCTCTCTGTCTTTCTCCCTCCCTTCCCTCTCTAAAAATAAATAAATAAAATCTAAAAAAAACAGAAAATATATTTTAAAAAATGTATGTGGAACCACAAAACACCTGAAGTAGCCATAGAAATCTTGAGAAAGAACAAAATGGGGGTATCACATTATGTGATATCAAATTATACTATAATTATATAGTAATCAAAACAACATGGTACTGTCATAAAAACAGACACATAGATCAATGGAACAGAACAGAGAGCCCAGAAATAGACCATACTCTTATGGTCAATTAATATATGACAAAGGAGGCAAGAACATACAATGGGGTAAAGACAGTCTATTCAATAAATGGTGTAGGGATAATAGGACAGATACATGCAAAAAATTTAAACTAGGCCACCTTCTTACATCATATATAAAGATAAACTCGAAATGTATGAAAGACTTTAATGTAAGTCTCAAAACCATAAAATTCCTAGAATAAAACATAGGCAGTAAACTCTTTGACATTTCTCTTAGTAATATCTTTTCTAACATATCTCCTCAGGCAAGGGAACAAAAGAAAAAACAAACAAATAGGACAATATCAAACTGAAAAGTTTTTGCATAGCAAAGGAAACCATCAACAAAATGAGAGGACAACCAACTGAATAGGAGAATATATTCATCAATAATACATCTGGTAAGGGGTTAATATCCAAAATTATAAAGAACTCATACAACTGAACACCAAAACCCCACCCCCCCCAACCAATCCCATTAAAAAACAGGCAGAAGACCTAAATAGGCATTTCTTCAAAGAGGACATACAGGTGGCAAATAGACATATGAAAATATGCTCAAGGTCACTAATATCAGAGAAATGCAAATTAAAACCACAATGAGAGAACTTCTGGTCAAGATAGAAGCTTAGGTAAACATGGCTTTCCACCTCACACAACCACAGCAAAATTACCACTAGACTACGGAACAAATATCACCCATAATGGTCAGAAAATAGAGCTGTTTGGAAGTCCAACAACCTAGGAATTAAAGAAGCCACATTCATCCAGATGGGCCATGCTATTAAGAGAGGGAATCAAAGCAGCTCTACCTATTGCACAGAAACAAACACAGGGAGGCTGCCAAAATGAGGAGACAAAGAAATATGGCCCAAGTGAAAGAACAGAACAAAACTCTAGAAAAAGAACTAAATGAAATGGAGATAAGAAATCTATAAGATGCAGAATTCAAAACACTGGCTATTATGATACTCTAGGAACTCACTGGGTACTTCAACAGCATAAAAAGACCCAGGCAGACATGAACTTTACACTAAGTGAAATAAAGAAAAATTTACAGAGAACCAACAAAGGAGGGGATGAGGTTAAAAAATAAAATCAATGATTTAGAACATAAGGAAGCAAAAAACATTGAATTAGAACAGCAAGAAGAAAAAAGAATCCAATGAGGATAGTCGAAGGAGCCTCTGGGACACCTTCAAAAGTCCCAATATTTGAATCATAGGGGCACCAGAAGCAGGAGAAAGGACAAGAAATTAAAAACGTATTTGAAAAAATAATGAAAGAAAACTTCCTTAATTTGGTGAAGGAAATATACATACAAGTCCAGGAAGCACAGAGACCCAGACAAGATGGACATAAAGAGGACCACACCAAGACACATCATAATTAAAATGCCAAAGGTTAAAGATAAAGAGAGAATCTTAAAAGCAGATAGTTACCTCCAAAGGAGTTCTCATAACACTATCAGTTGATTTCTCAAAAGAAACTTTGCAGGCTAGAAGGGACTGGAAAGAAGTATTCAAAGTGATGGAAAACAAGGACCTACAACCTAGATTACTCTATCCAGCAAAGCTATCATTTAGAATGAAAGGGCAGATAAAGTACTCCAAAGACAAGGTAACGCTAAAGAGCTCATCATCACCAAAACATAATTATATGGAATGTTAAAAGGACTTATTTAAGAGAAAGAAGATCAAAACTACGAACATTAAAATGGCAATAAATTCACAGCTATCAACAATTGAATCTAAAAGACAAACTAAGCAAACAAGCAGAACAGAACCAGAACCACGGATATGGAGATTATTTGGAGGGTTATCAGTTGGGATGGGGAAAAGGTGCAGGGATTAAGAAGTATACATTGATAGCTACAAAATAGACAGGGGGATGTTAAGAACAGTATAGGAAATGGAGAGGTCAAAGAACTTACATGCATGACACATGGACATGAACTAAGGTGGGGGGTTGCTGGAGAGAATGGGGGGCACAGGGTGGAGGCAGGCAAAAGGGGGGAAATTTGGGACAACTGCAATAGCATAATCAATAAAATGTATTTGAAAAATAAAACTACAATGAGATATAACCTCATACCTGTCAGAATGGCTATCATCAATAAATACACAAACAACAAGTGTTGGCGAGGATGTGGAGAAAAGGGAACCCTTGTGTACTGGTGGTGAGAATGCTGATTGGTACAGCCACTATGGAAAACCATAAAGTTCTAATTAAAAATAGAACTACCTTATGACCCAACAATTCCACTTCTGGATATATATCCAAAGAAATCCAAACCAAAATACTAATTTGAAAAGATATATAGACCCATGTGTTCACTGCAGCATTATGTACAATAGCCAAGATGTGAAACCAACTCAAGTGCCCATCAACAGACAATTGGATAAAGAAGATGTGATACATAGGTACAATGGAATGTTACTTGGCTATAAAAACAAACAAACAATGAAATCTTACCATTTGCAGCAACATGGATGGACCTAGAGGGTATTATGCTAAGTGAAATAAGTAGGATAGAAAAAGTGAAAGACCATACAATTTCACTTTTATGTGGAATCTAAAGAACAAAATAAATGAACAAATAAAACAGAAACAGGTGCATAGACACAAAGAACAAACTGAGGGTGGCCACACTGGAGAGGGATAGGGGAGGGGCTAGGTGAAAAAGGTGAGGGGATTAGAAAGTACAAATTGATAGTCACAGAATGGTCCTGGGTGTAAAGCACAGCCCAGGGAACAGAGTCAGTAGTACTGCAATAACTACGTATGGCACCAGGTGAATACTAGAGTTACAGAGAGGGATCACTGTCTAAATGATATAACTGTCTAACCACTATGCTGCACACCCAAAACCAATATAAAACAATATTGACTGTCAACTGTAATTGAAAAATAAAATTAAAATGGACAAAAGACTCGAACAGACATTTCTCTTAAGAAGATATGCAAATAGTCAATAAGCACAAGAAAATATGCCCGACATCGTTAGTCGCTAAGGGGATGCAAATCAAATCCACAATGAATATCACTTCACACCCACTAGGATGGCCATAATTAAAAAGACAGACAACATGAGGTGTTGGTGAGGATGTGGAGAACCTGGAGCCGTCATGCACTGCTGGTGGACATGTAACATGATACAGTTACTTTGGAAAACAGTCTGGTATTTCCTCAAAAAGGTTAAAAATAGAGCCACCATATGACCCCGCAGCAATTCCATTTTTAGGTATACCTCCAAAAGCAATGAAAACATGTTTACACAAATGTTCAAAGTAGCATTGTTAATAATAGCCAAAAAGTAGAAACGACTCAAATGCCTATCAGCTGATGAAGAGACAAACACAATGTGTTGTGTCCACACCATAGGATGTTATTTGACAACACAAGTGAATGAAGTACAACGCATGCTCCTACACGGTGATCCTGGGAACCACGGCGGCAACTGAAAGAAGCCAGACACAAAGGACCACATATTATCCGATCTCATTTACATGAAATGTCCACAATAAGCAAATCCATAGAGATAGTAAGCAGATTAGTATTTCCTAGAAGAGAAATGGGAAGTGACTGTTATGGGTATGCGTTTGCTTTTTTTTTTTTAAGGGTAATTAGAGTATTCTAAAGTTGAGTGTGGTGATGGCTGCACAACTCTGAATACACTAAAAAATGAATTGTACACTTTAAACAGACGAACGGTACGGCATGTGAAATACATCTCAATAAAGTTGTTAATTTAAAAACCCTAGGAGGCAGGTGTCTCAGTTTCTTGTGGCTGCTCTGACAAATTCCCACAAATTTAGCAGCTTAACAGAACAGAAACTTACTCTCTCACAGTTCTGGAAGGCAGAAATACAAAAGCGGCATCTTGGACCACACTCCAAGTGTCAGCAGGGCCATACTCCCTGGTAGCGGCTCTCAGGGAGAATGTGTTCCTTGCATCTTCCAGCCTGTGGTGGCTGCTGACACACCTGGGCTGTGGCTGCATCACTGTCCTGTTCAAGGCTGGCATCTTCAGGTCTCTCTCTGCTTCATCTTCTCACCGCCTTCTCCTCTGTGAGTCAATTCATGCTCCGCCTTTCTTTTTTAAGGACACTTGTTATGACATTTAGGGCCCACCCAGATGATCCAGAATAATCACCCCTATCTCAAGATCCCTAATTTAGTTAAATATGCAAAGACCTTTATTACAAATAAGGTAAAAATCGCAGGTTCCAGGGATAGAACCTGGTTATCTTTGGGGGCCCCGCTAGCAGCCCATCACAGAGAGTGTCATGACCCCTGTTAGAGATGAGGAAACAGAGCCAGAAAGCGAAGTATCGGGAAGTTTCAGAATCACGTCTTCCTGCCTGTGCCTCTCTGACTTGTTCTGAGACCTCCAGTAACTGGACTTTTATGGCACCTTCCTGAGCAGAAGGCTCAGCTCCCACCCCTGTTCCAGGCCAGGCCAGGCCAGTTGGTGCTTGCCAGGAGGCCCCATAGGAATGAGAAACATCAAGGATGCCCCAGACACAGGGAGGCGGCTCCGATTCCTAGCAGGCACCATGCTAAGCACCAGGACAGACAAAGGCCTGGCCGTGCCCTCGGGAATTTGGAAAGGACCTATCAACAGATTATCCAACACAGAGAGAAGCAAGCTGAGAGAAGCTCCTCCTGGCAGTTAAGGAATGAGAGGGGGCCCTCCCTGGTGTGTTGCCCTCTAGCTTTCCCCCTCAGGCTAAGGTGGATAAGGAGACCGCTTCCGAGACAGAGCCTTTACCCAGGATCTTGACAATAGATTGTATCTTCTGACTTCTCCCTCCCAGCTGAGAATCATCCACAGATCTTACCAGAAGATCACCAGAGTTCTCACGCAAGTTATTAATAAAAACACTCAATATGAGAAAGATAGAAACCTATGGCACGCTACAAGAGGCTTACCTCAGTCTGATCTCAGTCAAAATTCCTTTGATATAAACGGTCAGCAAGCTACAAATCTACCTCCTCTACTGTCATTCACGCCACCCCCTCCGTGAGGATACGACTCAGAAGTACTGGCAAACCATACACCCATCAGAGAGTGGCTATTCCTGATAATGTCATAGTGGCAGTAACAACAATAGTAATAACAATAATAATCAATAGAATATTTTTTTGTCCTTGTTCTCCCTTTTCTGTCCTTTGTCTCCAAGATGAAGTACACTTTACTAAAATAAGAGGAAACCCTAACTTGTTTATCAGGAGTTCCCGGAGCAATTACCCTGCCAGGAACAACTCTGTAGGAACAACCACCTCGGGTTTGAGGGGTGGGAGGAGGGCAGGTTGTTGTTAATCTAAAGATCAACAAAATGAACTCTAGATACAAAGAGCGACTTTGGTCTAAAGTACAGGATGTTTCCAGCTTATCACCAGGTTTTGATTCCGAAGCCTGTTTTGAAGCTAGTTGTTGAGCAAATGCTAAGTGTGCTCAACGGCCATCTGGGGAACCCTGAGCAGGTTCTCTGGTTGGCCCGCCTCGACCTGTGCTGGCAACACGGCTAAGATTCATGGTGAGCGGTCTGAGCCCAGAGTCTGTCCAGTGTCCCAGCTCTGAACCCCGTTACCAGGGCAGTTTCCCCTCCCTGCCGGCGCACTCAGCAGCTGCGTATGTGCTAGGATCGCTTCAGTTCAGTGTCTGCAACTTAAAAGCATTTTTAATAGAGTCTCACTCCCTTTTCCATGGGATTTACCAGTGGAATAATGTCCCCACCCCCCACGTCACCCCATCAGTGCCTGGCGACTCCTACCTCCAAGAGTCGAGGAGCCTCACCTGGTGGCCCAGGAGAAGGTAGCAGCCATTAATCCAACTGGTTTTCTTAATCCTAAAATTTGGATGTTAGGTATCCATCCTTCCCCTAACATTTTAATCTCAGGGACTGAGGAAGAGGAGCAGAAAACACAGAAGGCGAGAGAGGGGAACGGAGGCTGACAGCTGCTGTCGGAAGCACCCCAGAAGTGGGTTTGCCCACTTCTGCACATAGGCTCTGGAAATTTACAACAGAAAAATATTTTAAACTACTTAAAACATTACCCACCAGAGTGGTTCTCAGTCCAGTCTGTGATTAGCTTTGTCTGCCCAGCTGGCATTCATGGGGCCAGCAGAAGTGTGTGACCTTTCTTATCGTGATCAGCTGTCACCTTGATTTGAAAAGGAAATCTGGCAGGAAGCGCTGCGGGAGGAAGCAGAGGGCACTTTCTCCTCTGCTCTCAGCCGCTATCCCTCTATTTTCTTGCTTTGAAAGGAAACAGTGGCTCCTGCCTAAGAGGCTTCTCCTTTCAGCTTTTTGGGCCATGTTGGTGCTGTTCCTGGGCTGGCCTCCAGGTGACGAAGTTGTTGAGGACAACTATGTCCCCTTCTAGTACCTAGCCTGAAAGCCAGATAATGTCCTGAGCTGGAAAAAAAAAAGGGGGGGGAAGTGGAGGTCCTCGCTGGTATGGCTCGGTTGGTTGGAGCGTCGTCCCAATACGCCAAGGTTGCAGGTCCGATTCCCAGTCAGGGCACATACCTGGGTTGTGGGTTCGTTCCCTGATTTGGGCATGGCTGTGTGTGACCCATAGTCCAGACGCCTATGATCCGTGGTCTGGGAGCGGAATCAATGCTTCTTTCTTGCATCAATGTTTCTCTCTTCCTTCCCCTTTCTCTAAAAGCAATGAAAACAATGTCCTCGGGTGAGGGTTCAAAAGAGGAGGGGCAGGTTGGGACAGGGAATTTCAAAATCACAGATCACAGGGGCCTTGATCTTCACTCTCCACAAAACTCCAGCAGATTATTTATTAGGTATGTAAAAACTATATGTTGTTTCTAAGCATCCCCTAACATCTTTTCCTAGTGAGTCACGGCTCACACCGCATCAGAACCTCGATCAAGTCTTTGACGAAACAAATTATGGAGGAGGCCCGGACTGTGGTGGGAGTCTAGAGAAAGGTAGAGAATGGGGGGTCTGGGCCAGGCCTAGCAAGGGCTGACTGTGAGGGTCACACGCAGGAGAGATCAGGGCAGGTATTAAGGGCAAGATGAAGCCTGGGTTGTGAAGCAGGGGGACCAGGAGGGGGCTGCTCAGTGAGGAACTGCGGGGGGGGGGGGGTCCTAGTGGCCAGTAGATGGTGCAGATCAGAGCAGAACTCCTACGGGTGCTGGTCCAAGACACCTGCAGTTACCAAGCCAGAAGTGGAGATGACCAGAAACTGGCAAGGAGCTTCGAACAATGAATCAGGACACATTAACCTGGTTTTAATTGTTGCCAGGGTTACTAGACTGTTAAAACAGTAAAATACTGCAGATACAAGCTTTCTGAATTTCAGAAAGACATCTGACCAAGTCTGGCCTGGGGTCTTCTTGGAGAAGTGCGTAGTACCTGCCATTTCTGGGACAATGGCATCAAAAGAGCTTTAATCAGAGTCAATTCAACGGAGCTGTCTTGTGGACTACCACATGGCTGTCTTCTTCCAGCTCTTGGTCGACATTTTTTTTCTTTTTCCTTTTTTCCTTCGTGTGAGCGTGTGTGTGTGTGTGTGTGTGTGTGTGTGTGTGTGTCCCAGGCTTCTTTACTTAAGATCAAAGTGATAAGTGATGTGGAGATTAAACTCAAGAGCATCCCTGAACTTCACCTTCGCTCCAGCTGGTTCCCCACACTCCCCACCCCAACACAGCTGTGCTCCCAGCTCCGTAGTGAAGGGAGAACTGAGTCCCAAAGCCCTGGAACAACTCTCAGGGTTCTTCACCTCGTTCTCCTGTTTTCTGGGAAGGGCAGGCTCCTCACTTTGAATGTATAGGAATGCCCAGGGCAGTGACAGACCCAAAGGGAAAGGCTTCCCCTGTGGGGAAAGGGACTGAGGAGCACGGTGTAGTGGAGTGAGGGCCCACATAGCCTGAGATACCTAAACGGGGCCCTGGTGTCAGAGGAAAGGACACCAATCCCCCTCCCCTGAGAAAGGAAGCCCAGAAGCCTCAAAATCCTCTCACTGAGAACAGTCCCTGCTTGATCCTTTGCCCTCCTGGTGACAGGTGCAGAACCACACTCGATCCACACGTCTTCCTCCAGCCAGGGCTGCAGGGCGATGTGGTCGATCTGCGACAGGGTGGCCTTCCCACACCGCAGGAACACATTCGGCATGTGGTCCCTCACTCGGTTCTCCACACTCCTTTGTGTCCCGGGCTTCACATTGCTTTCTCTTCCACACCTGCACAGAGGTCCCCGCCTTGCATGCCTCCTGCAGGTTCTTGTGGTCATCAGCTTCCTCTGCCTACTTCTGCAGCAGGGGCTGCAGCCTACACATGTTCTTCAAACCGACATTGACAGAGCAGATGGTCGTTGGGCTGGATAGCTTCCCAAAAAGAACTCCCAGAGGGAGTCCAGCATCAGCCTGGGGCTACCCCAGGGCAATCCTCTTCTGCTTCAGGAGCCTGGCAAACTGCTCGCGGTCTTTCTGCAGAACTTCCGCGTCTTCACTTGCCTCCTCCTGGGGTTTGGCTCCAGCTTCTCCTTGTCCAGCTTCATGGCCACAGGCAGGGCAGCGGTGAGCTGAGGGAGGACCCCTCAGAACTGCTCTCCACCCCAGCTCCTGCTTTGCCCTCGAGCTGGGGCAGGGTGGTTCACCAGGCCTCCTTGGAGAAGCAGCCCCACTGCAGCCAGACATCCATAGTAGGACATCCACAATCCACTCTTCTGCCCCCCATCCCAGCAGGACTCATTTGGCTGGGGGCACAGGGCAATCCCCCACACCTCACCCCAGGCCAAGCCCCGCCAGTTCCCCACCCACCAGGAGGACCCTGGAAGCTCAGCCAGGTCTCAGGGTCAACCCAGGCCCTCCTGGTGGGGACGAGAAGGCAAAGTCAGAAGATAGGTGACCCACCACAGAAGGACAGTACCCCAAGCTGGGGGCCTAGTGACAGCAGGGCTCTCCAAAGCACTGCTCAACACCTCTCCCCCTCTGCAACCCACCCACTCCTGGTCAATGTTTTTAGGGATGGCTCACATGAGAACTCCTAAAAGCATGCTGATTGAGTCCCTAATGACACAGCCCTGAGAGGGACAGGGAAGAGGCCAAGTCACAGAATCAGTAGTCCAAAGGATGTCACCAGGAGGAAGAAATGGGCCAAATGGGCCAAATGGTGATATATAACAGAAAGTTAAGTTCCCGAACTTAACCCCTCAAAACTGACCTTAAAATGCAGGACAAGGGAGATGCTCCTTAGCAGCAGCACGTATGGGAACGGCAGGAGTTTAAAAGGGCTGTGGTCGACGCCACAGTTCCCAGCGTTGAAGGAAACAAAGAGTTCAGAAGAGGGGAGAAGACGGTCCCACTTGTATGTTGTCATTCAAGCTTAGTGCTGGGGGCAGAGAGGGTGGGACTCCTCGAAGCATGCGGACCAGCGATGAAAATGCAGAGGCAGGGGCCTTCAAACTGCGTCCTAAGAGGAGCATCTGAAGGAGGTGGAATGTTAAGATTTGGGGGAATATCTGGTCATTATCTTCAAACAGTTATACTGTTTTTATATGAAAGGGGAAGTGGACATTTTTCGCCCTACTTGTGGGTAGAAATTACAGAGACACATATTGCAGTCAGAGCTCTGCAACACAGCAGGAGAGGAGCGGTTTTAGGAAGGTCGTCAGAGGCGGCGGAGAGAGGGAGATGACTCCAGAGGAAACAGCTGCGCGGCTCCTCCGAGGCTGGCCAGAGGCCATTCACGTGCCAGTTCCCAGGGACCCCAGCGGCCACACAGGCCAGGCTCTCTCTCTCCGGGGAAAACTTCCTCTTCATCATTCAGATGAAGAGTCTCTTCATCTTACTGATGAAGCTACTAAGGAGGCAAATATTAGTCAAAACCAATGGCGTGAATCAGAGAATCGTTCCTGCTGACTGTCGGGCTTGGAGAGAAACACAAAAGGAAAAGGCAGTTGGCGGTCGTCGCAGAGATGGCAAAGTGGCCTCTGCTACTTGAAAGCTGGGGTCACAGTTCTGACTGATGCAAAGAAGGGCTTCGAAATTGTTTGTGGAGCTCCTGAATGACCTGCCAGATGGCATGAAAATGCACCTGTGGCCCCTTTGTGGCAAGCCGAGCAGATCCAGCCGACCCCACCGGACAGCAAGCGTGGCAGGAGCCAGAAAAACCCAGAAGGAAAACAAAAGGCAGCCTAAGTGCTCACAGTCTTCGTCCCCAGGGTCTGAAGTGCAGAAGAATGACCAGAGCCATGGATGAGACACACAGAGCCGAGGAAAGCAGAGCCCCTCTGGGAGTGAGGGCAGCAGAGTGAGGCAGACTGGCTGACTTTGGGAGGGACAGCAGGGCCTTGATTTTGAGGGAGACGGTAGGTATAGGAGACCTGCAGGGAGCCTTTCTCTGGCAAGTGTGATATAACGCTCCCCGCACAGCCCCCTCCGGTCATGGAGCCCTCAGCGCCTCCCGTGAATTGGCTCATCAGACCCTGCGAACCGCATGCTAGTGTCATCCCCGCTGCACAGGAGAGAAACAAGCCCCTCAGGGAGGCGAGGGCACTTGCCCAGGTTTAAGAGGTAAAGTCCATTGGAACCCTGGCTGCCTGACTCTGGAGCCGAGCCCTTGGGTTTTGCACAGTGCCTCTGGGAGAAAACCACTTTGGAACGCTCCACAGTAGGAACATCTTTAGCTTAGGACCAAGACTGAAGGGGTCAGTTTCTGAAAACAGTTATAATACAGAGTATAAAGTATTTATTCA